TTAAGACTCCGTGGGTTCGAAAATTGGGTATATAGGATAGGGATACGTCTAGGATTGCACTCGGTGACGGGGAGAGGCTAGAAGCTAAACGGACCTCGGTTGCCTGCTTAAGAAAGGTGCGTTGGGTCCGCAAGGGTCCACATCGCTTGGAGATCTTCACACAGCGCGAAGTCTCCTCCTCCTGGGGAGTTCTGTATCTCTCCAGGTTTCCTCTCTCTCCGACTTGGGCGGAAACTACCCAAGCCTTTTGTATGGCTAGCAAGCCAATAGCTAGCCGCCACGTATGCCTACATTTAGAACCGGCCAATAATGTGGCACGAATCTAAATACAAATGGCGGGAACTCCTTTGCACCGTGCATCACTATGATGCAAAAGAAATGCACCATGCAAAGAAGGCTACAAACGGTGGGAAATACTCTTTTGCACGCGGGTTCCTCTATTGCAGCAGAAAACTCTACCGTGCAAAAAAGCTGCAATTTGGCGGGAACATAATTTAGCGGTGCCGAAGCACACAAAAACAAAAAACCACAACTTTGGGTTGTGACAGATTTGACCAGGTAGTGAGTCCTTGAAAATAATAGTTTGTTCTTATTCAGCATCATTGCTGTATTTTGGGTACCGGTTTGCAATGGCTGGATTGGTCCTGCATGTGTATGTGAATTATTTCATGAACTTTAGCTGTGTGTTACCAGATTTAAGAGAAGGTGCACAGCAAGTGTTTTCTGTGAAGTTCATGGAAAAGAATTAATTTCAGGATTTTGCATCATCTTTACACTGCTGGAAAAACAAATGCTTCAGTTTATAATATTTGCGGGGGAATGGCTCCCTCTTGTGGACCTCATCTGCTATGTATAACCTACTGCTTCAGTGCTGCCTAGTTGCGTGATTCCAGGTCATTGAATTACTTGTTTAAGTTTTTTCTTTCAAAGGCAGTTAGGAAATGAGAGAGTCAGCTGTATTAACACAAGCTGTGTGGTTCAGTGTGGGTAAGGGAGACAGAGCAAGGATTCAAAAACACAACCTTGATTTTCTTTTAAGCACTTTAAAAAAATCAGATAATGACTGCCCATACATCCATAACTCTTTATCTACAAGGTAACAGTCTTTAGTTGTGGATCATTTATTTCTCAAACAGCACTAATTTGGGGTGCAATTCTTATCTGTTGCAAGTATCTCATAGTTTTAACTCTTCAGACAATATATCTATTTCTATCTTGCCTTGATTCAGGACTGTAACAATTGGTGGTGATTTACAGCATACTGGCCATGTCCACAGGAGACTGACTGCACAGGAGCTTGTTACTACTGTGCAGTAGCATTCCATGGCACAAAGTGTGATGTGATGTGATGTGACGCTCCTGTCCATTAGTAATGAGCAGTCAGCATCATGAAAAGACCATTCAGCGATGCTTGTGTATGCAAGTACTAAATGACTGCGCAGTAACAACTGCGCAGTCAGCATCTTGTGTAGACGTGGCCACTAAGAAAAGAATGTATACCTTAGCTTTAAAATAAGGCTGAAAGCATAAAACCATCCAATACGAATAATGTGGTGAAAGCTGATCTGCCAGACGTTCCTAGAAATGCAGCTAACAATAGTAAGATTTTCATTTCTGCTGTTCTAAATGTGTCCAGCAGGTGGAGGTAGAACTTAATGAAATTTAGGAAGCAAAATTGCTGAGTATATAATCTGAGTTTGCAAAATGTTCAAGATCTCAGTTGTCAGCATTTTATTTAATTTTAATTTTTTGTTTTATTTTGCTTCTTGTTTGTTTGGTTTTGTGGTTTTGTTTAATTTTAAATTATTTAATTTAATTTAAAAAAATTGCTTAATGTTTTTTTCCTTGACATTTTCTTAGGTCATTACAAATAAATATAAAACTCATCCTTGTGAACACATTAGAAAAAACTTGTACTTCATAAGATTTAATTGAGTCTTTATTATTTAAGCCCTGCCAACAGTTGGAGGTCTACAAAGTATCTTTAGCATGAAGTCATATAGGTGGGAAAGTCAATGTTTACTTTTCAATGTATATTTGACCACTGTATTATCCAGTTAGTGCAACAGATTGGGGAAGGAAAAAAGCACAAAATTCTAGTCAGTGAAGTTGGCACAGACTTCTTTGATATTACCTATAACCAACTGTCGCACAGTCTTGGGTGGGGGGGTGGGTCCATGTTTGTGAATGCTGCAGTAATGTCTGGTCTTTGAACATCCCTTGAAGCCAGCATGGGTGTAGCTTCTAGAGTTGCAAGGGAGTGCAGGGTCGTTCCTTAATCTGACACATTGGCCTTTTGATCCCTCATCGTCCCTGGCTCTTTGTGGCCTTTACTCAAGGAAATAGCATCTCGTTCAGTTTATGAGAACAAGTTAAAGTTACCATATGTCTGGGTTTCCCCGGACATGTGCTTTTTTTTGGCCCCCTGTCCTCCTGTCCGGGCGGGTTTTTAAAATGCAAGCGTCTGGGTTTTTGCTCTGCCTCTGCTTTTCCCCAGTACTTGCGACTTAGCTGCTTGGGGCTGGGAGCAGTGAGGGAAGGTGATTGGTTGCTGGGGATCATGTGCTCTGTATGCAGATCCTGGCAGCTGCTCACAGGTAAGAGAGAGAGACACGGAGGGGTACCAGCAGAGCTGGGGGGGGCAGGGGGCTGTGGGTTGGGAGTGGTGCACTGGTAGGCCTGGGGGGCATGGTACAGTTGGTCAGGAGTGAGAAGCAGCAGCAGGGCTGGGGGGCCTGTGGCTTAGGAGTGAGGGGCAGAGGCAGGGCACGGGCAGATCACTGGCACCCCCCAATTATACACCCCTCCCCCCACAGGTATCCTCTTTTTTGGTATTGGAAATATGGTAACTCTAAAGTGCAACCCCAAGTTCCAAACAGCAAGCAGACAACTATGCTTCAATAAAGGCATTTAATGGGGCAAAGGCCTCCCAGCCAGAAGTTGCCTGCGGCCTTCCCCCTTCAAAGAGTTGAACAGTTCTTTTATCCCAAGTTCAGCCTCCACAGCCCAGAGCACCCCTAGTGATTTGCTCAGCTGTTTCCTTTCCAGCCCCTGAGCCCTGGAGCTCCTCAGTTTGTCTTTCTGACTTCAGACTCTCTCCTCTGATTGGTCTTCGGGAGCTGACACCCTGCTTGTTCACACACTATTCTCCCTTGTTATGTTTTTATCTCTGTCTCTTCCCTTTTGCAGCCTTGGGCCCACCAAGCCCAACTGAACCATCAGTATTAACAGGACTTTAGTAGCTACGTTGAAGATTCCTCTTGTCTTGTCCTGTACGTAGGCCACTATGTCACTTATTAATCCTTCTTTCCCTCTATACTAACATTATAGATGAAAATGAGTTGCACGTTATAACAACATGAACAGAGTTAACGCAGAAATATTTCAATAAGCCCCATGGTTTGACACACCAACTAATGTTACCTTTTGGTTTTTTTCAGTAAAGTTTAATATTTTAGTCTATTGTTAAATGTAGGTGTTTCCATAATTGGGAATATATTTTCAAATAATGTAGTGGTTCCCATTGATTTATTAATGTAGAATTTATTTGAATCACAATTTTTTAAAAATTACCTTGCTGCCAACTAGCTGGTCTCTGTAAATAAAGCCATAACTCTGAAACTTACCTGATGTTTGGTGGAAGCTTTTGTTGAAAATATTTGTTCCGTTAGGCAGTTGTTTGCTCTGTTTTCTTTTGCAAGTGTTTACTTAATATAGCTCTTAAAATTGCGAGAATTAAATGATAAAAGCCAGCGAAATCCATCTTCCCATCAGATAAATAAGGCCACACATTGTGAACAGTGAAAGAAACTAAGTAAAAAACACTTCATGTGTAAACACATGAAACTGGAGTGTGATACTCATGGTCACTTGTTCACTTGCTGGGGGGAGACAGGCTGGGGGGAAGGAATAGTGCAGAATTTCTTCCTCTTTGGTGCCCTCTATATGTTACATGTATTGCACAATTACCTGGTTGATTGCACAATTAATTTAGACCAGCTACATATGCAAATCAACTATCACGCCTTAAAAAAGTCCATCCAGCTATAAAGTTAAAGCTGGAAAATATGTAATAATTTCATAGCTGATTTCTATCCAGCTTTAATTTGAACATATAGAATAGCACAGCCCCTGTGGCGGGGAGTCCCATCAACTGATGAGACTCAGATGTGGCAGCACTTCAAGTCCTGTTCAGTGGGGCACTACTGCAGAGTCTTGTCAGCTGTCGGACTCCCAATTGTGGGAGGTTGCTATTAGTATGCCGATGCAGGGGGAGCCTGGGCTCCCCCTGCATCAGGCATAAGGCATGATAGTCTGGTAGATTGGATGTCTGATCCTGTCACACCTTTACCTGAAAGCTTAGAGCAGCGATTCTGAACTGAGGGTACATGTACCCTCAGGGGGTATGTGAAGCCTCATCACGGGGTACGTGAGATATATTTCATACGCTGTCTAACACAGGTTGAAGGGCCTAAAAATTTAATTTCCCATTGAAAGGGGGTACGTGAAGTCTCACTTTGGGACCAAGGGCTACGTTGACTGAAGAAGGTTCAGTATCGTTGGCTTAGAGGGTCCCTTTGTTCTATACCTGCAGTTAAGTCTTTGTTGCTCTTCTTGGAGGGTCAGTGCTTCATGACTGGTAGCCTGGCTTTCTCAGTTGAGGATCTCTTGCCTTTGGGATTACACAGCTTTACAATTTAAATCAGTTAACCTGTGGGAATTGTAAGGCAAGTTATTTTATAAATTCCTGGGCTGAAATGTTCTTTAGCATTTGTCTTGCCCAGTTTTCTTTCATATATGCTTTAAGAACCAGAGAGAGTTTCAGCAGAAGGTGAGTAACATGAACCCTTCATTTATATCTGTAAATATTATATATGCTATATTTTTATTTGTAAAAAGCTTACCAAATTGAAAGGCAGTTTCAGGAATTTCAGTAAGTGTAATAACCACAAAGAATCTCTTCTAAAAAGTAATGTGGTTTTTTTTTTTTTTAATTTCAGGATTGTGGAATCTTGCTTCTCTTTTTTCCAATCTTTGCTTGTTTGTGTTGATGCCCTTTGCCTTCTTTTTTTTGGAATCAGAGGGATTTGCTGGCTTAAAAAAGGTGAGAAAACGTTAACATTAATGCATGTGGAATAAATTCCATTGCAGTTCCAAAGCTGTAATTGCCATAGCGTCAAGCAGTTTTTCATTTATTTAGTTAGCTAGTTATTTATATGTATGCATAGATATTGAAACCATGTTACATGTGTGTGCAGAAAGAAAGGAACATAATACATGTAATTGTTGCTGTGGTTCGATTAAAAATTTCAGTTGCTGTCCTAAGGAAACTTGTCTATTTATACCATAGCTAGACTTGGTTAGCTTTTAAAAGTTAGTCAGCTATTGTTATAGGCCAGATTCAACTAATATTTTTTTAACTTAATTTCTTGACAGTTGCTGAATGAGGATGATTAATTTTGGTGGCATGACTTGTAAAATGTATTCTGCAGTCATTCCTTGAATAGAAAGTAGAGGATATTCAGTAGAAAGGGGGGAAAGAGAGGCTTACTGAATGTCTTTTAGTGAAGATAAAAAGAAAAAGAACGATTGCTGTGGGGTAGGGTTTACTAAAATGACGCTGACCCTATGTCATGGTTTGGACAGGACACTCATGGATTCCATAGCTTGTTCCCAGCCAGTTGGTCAAAAGTCCTGGGCTGGAGTCTGGTGGGGAAGTGGAGTGGCATGGTGCTTCAGGCAGGTGGTGGGTCAGGCACCACTGCTGCTGTGTAGGAGCAAGGATGTGCCAGGGTGGCACCTGCTCCAGTCTATCCACCTTGCTTCCATGCAGCAGCATTCAGCAAGACCAGTACAAGCACCTGGGACAGTATAACTGCATGCACAAGTATAGATTGGGATATGTCTGGCTAGGCTGCAGTAGAAAAAGACCTCATGGTTACAATAGACCGTACATTGAATATGAGCTGACTGTGAGCTCTTGCTGGAAAAACAGCTAGTGGCATGCCGGTTGTATTAACAGGAGTGTCACTTGCAAGTCAAGGGAAGTGATTCTTCCATTCTTTTCAGCACTGGTGAGGGTTCACCGGGAGTACTGTGTCCAGTTTTAGGCTCTATGCTTTAAGAAGGGTATGGAGAGACTGGAGAGGGTCCAGTGTAGTAATTAGCTGAAAATCAAAAAAGAATTGTATTAAAAAATGGAAACAAGAATGAATGGCTAAGGACAAATATAAAAGACTAGCACAAGCATGTTATGACAAAATCAGGCTAAGGCTTAAAGCTACAAAGGGATATAAAAAGGCTAATTAGAAAATTATAAATAAATTTAAAATATGCAAGAGTCAAAGGGTATAGGCCCATTACTCAGCATAGAACATAGATGAATGATAGATGACAAAGAAAGCTGAAATGTTTTTGTATGCTTCAGTCTTCACAAAAAATGTTAACTAATGCTTATCTCAATGTGAACAAAAAAATGGAGAAATGAGTGTCATAAATTCCAGAATAGATTAAAAAAGTTGGATTTATTCAAGTTGGAAGACATGATGAAATATAATCTAGCATACTTATGGAAGTATATAAAGCTGTCTCTGAACCATTATTCACCTGTCCTTCATAAGGTCCTGAAATTCCAGAGGACTGGAAAAGGGTAAACAATAGAATCTGTCTCTGGGGAGAGGGGGGGATAAAGACCCGAAGAAATATAGATGCTGCATTTCCATGAATCTAAGGTGACCCTGAGGTCAAGATGACCCCCCAATAATTAAATTCCCCACAGTCTCTGCCGCTTTCCCTGTCTTACTTCCTTCAGAGGTTGCTTGGACTCTATTCTCTCCTGTGTCATGGAGCATAGCATGTGGAAGTTCAGCCCTTGCTGGCCTGTGCAGCAGCAGCAGCAGCAGCACTGCTGACTGGCCATACAGGTGATGGAGTTTCCATTGCTCCATGCCTGGGAAGGAATCCATCCTGAGCCAGAGCTGAGATATACCTGACAATAAGGGAAGGAAAGGAGGCAGAGGAGGGTGCAGAAGCTGCGGAGGGAAAGATAGGTGGGGGGCAGGTGGCTGCTGTGGGTCTGACTCTGTCCTCACCTTGTCTTAGATTTGAGTAAATACATTAAGTTAGACTAGCTTTTGATAACTGGAAAGTTCCCTGAACCAAATGTAAAACAATCCATTTTTTAAGTAACTTGTAACATAATAAAGTGACAAATAGTCAGCATGGATTTGTCGAGAACAGATGTCAAACCAGTGTGATTTTTTTCCCTGTTTTGACTGTGCAACTGATCAAGTGCAGTGGTGCTTGATCACCAGGGCTGTCTGGTAAAAATGGTGCCTAACTAGCAGGGCTGTGCAAAGCTTTGGTAGCCAATTTCAATTCGGCAGAGATTTGGCCCGATTCAGTGGCTGAATCTCTGAATCCGAATCAAGTTGGGAGACCAAGTAAAAGATCCGAATCGATTTGGAAAGTATTTGGCGCCGCTTCGGAAATTTGCCCATGGACTAAACAGGCAGCAGTACTCACCATGATGGACATAGCTGCCTGTGGTAGGTGGTCGGGGGAGGAGGAGGAAAGGGGCATGGTTGGGAGGGGGGGGGGCAGATCAGTGCCCCCACAGCGAAGGAGGGATTGTGCCTGGGAAAAGCTGCCCATCTGGGGTGGGGGAGGCGGGCAGGGGGACAGACTTGTGGAGAAGGGCTCCTGCCACTGCATGCCACTGTTCACCATGATGGACATAGCTGCCTGTGGTAGGTGGTCGGGGGAGGAGGAGGAAAGGGGCATGGTTGGGAGGGGGGGGTGCAGATCAGTGCCCCCACAGCGAAGGAGGGATTGTGCCTGGGAAAAGCTGCCCATCTGGGGTGGGGGAGGCGGGCAGGGGGACAGACTTGTGGAGAAGGGCTCCTGCCACTGCATGCCACTGTGCACTGCTGGTCTGGGAGGGCATGGGAGTGGGTGTGTGCCCCTGGATCTGTGTGGGGCGGGCTGGGTTGTGCTAGGATCTGGGATCCCCCATTTGCTGGGAGCAAGCTGTGCCTGCATCACAATTCCCCTCCCCTCCTCCCTGGCCTGGCTGGGCAAGCGGCAGCAGGGCATAGTCCTTGCTCCCAGCACTGCTGCACCCACATCCTGTGCCCCCCTTCCCTTCAGGGCAAAACCAGGTGGAAATGTCAAGCAGTGTCCTTTAAGAGCTTATCTTGAGTCTAGTATTAAATATTTTTATTAACTTTAGGTTGTGGAGTAGAGAGTATATTGAGAGTAGGGAGTGCATATTTGAAGATGACATCATGCTAGGAGCAGTTGAAATGCTTTGGAGGACAGGATTAGAATTTAGAATAATCTCAAGTAATGGTCTGAAATCAGTAAAATGTAACTTATTAAAAAGCAGGTGCAAAATACTACATGCAAGAAGTAGAAAATTTCAAATCCCTAAATATGAAATGGTGAATAACTGTGTAGACTGTAGCCTTCAGATGCTTTACTGAAGTACTATAATGAATTAGAACTTAAACATAAATCAACAATGTAATGCTGTTGCAAGAAAGTAAAAAGTAACTTCATTATTAATTTGGGTTAGGACTATGCAATAAGGCAGGCCAGTTGAGACTGAATCAGAATTTATATTATCATAGTTACTTATCTCTTTACAGAAGCTGTAACCCAAGTAGCCAGTCTGAATGTGGAGTTCTTTGTCTCTGTCCCTCGTGGCTAGCGCGCTGTAAGCTCTCATCCAAACTTGTCTCGTAACTTGTTTGTGTAGGCTAGTGCACCGGCCGCCGTTGCTGACCCTGGGGAGTTCTTAATGGTGGTACATACAAAAATATATTTAAAAAATAAAACTTTAGACCAGTGGTGCTTCACCCTTTGGCCCCATAGGCAAGATAAGTGGCATGGGGCTGACTCCTGCGCACCCAGATCAGGCCCCACATGCCCAGATCGGGCCCTGTGCTGCCTCAGCCTGGATCTTACCTTACACCACCCCAGCCCCATGTGTCCAGTCCAGCTCACAGGGCTCTCCATCTGCCTGGGAATCTGGCAGTCGGGGAGCATACTGCTCAATTAATACTGGCACTGCCTCCCAAATTTTTGGACCTGTGAAGAAGTCCTGCAAGCCAGATGACACAGCTCTGTAGCTCAGATATGGTCTGAGGGCAGCTCTGTCTTCAATAGATCTGAAAGGGTGCATGTACCCTGACTACATCAGATTGGCTCTCTAACATGCAATTTTAAAGGTGACATAAGCAGTGTTAAGAGAGATCTTTCCAAAGCTTGGGGTGCTACACAGGCAAATGGGAACTCCAAGTTTTGCAGGGAAAGCATGGATATGATGCTTATGGTACTAAAAGAACTTCTTTCTTCTCTTGTCTTCATTTGGAAGACACATTTCAGTCAGGACTGCAGCAAAGTTCCTTCCTTTATTTGCTTTCCTATAAAGACCTCAGGTAAATCTTGAATCATGGATTGGGAGAGGATTTGCATAAATGAACTGACATTACATAAAATATGTCCTCCCACTCAGACATCTTGGAGCTTTATGCTTGGTGTGCACGGTTTTTACTACTCCTTCCTCAAAGCTCACCAATCCTAATGCTCAGTGACACTGTATTAACAAAGGAGGAGCAAGATCCTTCTCAGTCTGTTGAGAAGCTATCTGTATTTGTGAATGATGTATTTGGCCTTGCATCATATTGGTAGCAGAGTTTTCCAAAAATCACAAATGGTGTTTTAAAGATTCAGTCTTGTAAAATATTTTTCTCAGATATTCCCAGTTGTAGTTATATTTTTCATAACAAACATTTAACATTCTGCCCATGCTGTGTAACGTGTAATTGTTGCATTTCTCATCTTGTGGACGCAGGGATTAGTTGATACTTGATATTCTTTGTGGCTTGGAAAAGAAGCAGGTTCCAGCATAGGTCATGAAATTCTGAGATTCAGACTTGGCGAGTGTGTTAGCACAATCTCCAGTCTCCCAGAGTAGCTAAATGTTTTATCTCAGAGCAAAACACCTTAAACCAAATCAATATGGAAGCCCATAGTGGTTTCTTGGCACCAGCTTTCACCAGTGATGGGTCTGATTCAATGATGGTGGACTGTTTGCCAGCC